ATACAATAGTACAACATATAGATTTCTGGTTCATAAATCAGAAAATCCAGAGGTATCTGTTGGTACCACGATTGAGTCGAGGAATGCTATATTCTTTGAGAATATTTTTCCTCTGAAGGAAAGAGCAGAATCTAGTTCTAATAAACGAACGTATGAAACTGCTAGTGGTTCTGTACTAGAGGGTACTGATGAGGAACCGAGACGTAGTAAAAGGTTAAAAACGGAGAAAACGTTTGGACTTGATTTTATTACGTACATGTTGGATGATGAACCGAGTTTCCTTAAGGAAGCTCTGTCCAGCCCAGATGGACCACTCTGGGAAGAAGCTGTAAATAGCGAAATCGAGTCCATTATGCAAAATCATACTTGGGAGTTGGTTGATCTCCCTGATGGTTGTAAATCTTTAGGATGCAAGTGGATCGTAAAGAAGAAATATAAAGCTGATGGATCGATTGATAAGTTTAAAGCACGATTGGTGGTAAAAGGCTTTAAACAAAAGGAAGGGTATGATTTCTTTGATACATATTCAACAGTTACGCGTTTAGCGTCGATAAGAGCGCTTCTCTCGATTGCTGCTTTGCACAATCTTGAGATTCACCAAATGGATGTCAAAACGGCATTTTTGAATGGTGAATTGGAAGAAGAAATATACATGGAACAACCTGAAGGGTTTGTTGCACCTGGACAAGAGAGAAAGGTGTGTAGATTGATCAAATCCTTGTACGGACTGAAACAAGCTCCGAAACAATGGCATTTGAAATTTGATGACGTGATGTTATCAAATGAGTTCAAAATCAACGAATGTGACAAATGTGTTTATGTCAAGAGTACATCAAATGCATTTGTGATTGTATGTCTATATGTAGACGATATGTTGATCATGGGGAGTACCCATGAACTGATCATGGATACGAAAAGAATGTTGAAAAGAAATTTCGACATGAAAGATATGGGTTTGGCTGATGTTATTCTTGGAATAAGGATTATCAGAAACCAAGATGGAATTGTCTTGTCACAATCTCATTATGTAGAGAAATTGCTCAATAAATTTGATACCTATGACGGTGCACAGTCTAGGTGTAAGACACCCATTGATCTTAGTATAAATCTGGTAGCCAATAAAGGTCAACCAGTGGCTCAGTTGGAATATTCACGGATAATAGGGAGTCTGATGTACTTGATGAATTGTACACGACCAGACTTGGCCTATCCGGTGAATAAGTTGAGCAGATTTATGAGCAATCCCAGTCATGAACACTCGAATGCTTTGCGAAGGGTACTTAAGTACTTGAGGTACACCCTTGAATACGGGCTAAAATACTCGAGATATCTAGCCGTACTTGAAGGGTACTGTGATGCAAGCTGGATATCAGATTCGAGAGATTCTCGCTCCACTAGCGGATATGTTTTCTGTATTGGAGGAGGTGCAGTTTTGTGGAAATCCACAAAACAAACGTGTATAGCTCGTTCAACTATTCAATCGGAATTCATTTCTTTAGATAAAGCTGGTGAAGAAGCCGAGTGGCTTAGAAATTTTTTATCTGATATTCCATGTTGGGATAAGACTTTGCAGCCTGTGATGATTCACTGTGATAGTCAAGCTGCTATAGGTAGGGCGCAAAGCAACTTATAAACGGTAAGTCTAGACATATTCGTCGTAGACACGATACCGTATGCCAATTGATCCCAAATGGTATTATTTCCATTGACTATGTGAAGTCTAAAGAAAATTTGGCTGATCCTTTGACGAAAGGATTGAATAAAGATCAATTGGTAGTTTTGCTAGAGGGAATGCGCTTAAAAATCCACAATGAAAAGAATGATCATAGTGGTAACAATACCATGCTGAGTGGAGATCCCACGAACTTGGTTCAAAGGAAAAACTAAGCTATGAAAATTCAGTTGAGCACTTGGAACATATGAATATTCAAAGTTATTCCCTAGAGCACTCCAAGTGAAAGATGACCTGTTGATTGTAGTGAGGGTAAGTCATATGGACTTTTAATGAATCCCTAACCTTGTAAAGGTGGAGTATAACAGGATATTCTTGATAGGGAGGTCACCTATATAAGTGTGAAGTGTGGGCCGCTTCAAATTTAAACACTTATGAATCCATTGTGTTGTCCATGGCCAAAACGGACACAACGATAGAACGGAATGGGGTTAAGACTTTATTATGTGAATGTCATTGTCTCGGTGTACACTATGGAGGAATAGTTCAAGGCATTATGTCCACTAGTCCGCCTGTGCATCCGATGATGTTTACTAAGAAAGGTTCAAAGTCAAAAGCTACCTTTTCTGATACAATAGAGTTTTGTGAGGATTGAGTACACTAGTATGCATATATTTAATTTACACTCATGTGGGGGATTGTTAATCATTGAGTGTTAAATTAATTTGCTAAACTAATATTCTTTCTACTATTCCTCTTAATATTCCACCAACTTCCAACCTTCCCCAATTAATGTGTCGGGCATCTCTTGTAAATTAATTATGTGGTTGGGTATGACAACTAATTTATTAATGAAGTCCACAACACCAATTGCTTTTGTATCTATAAAAAAGGATCATCTCATTTGGAGAAAAGAGACACGCAGAGAAAGAAAGGAGAAGGAAAGAAAAAGAAAAAGGAGAGAGAGAGAAGAAATAAAAGTGAAGAAAAAAGACACGGATAAAAAGAAAGAAAAAGAAAGAAAAATATAAGATATATTTTTATTTTAGTGCTCAATTCTCGATTTCGTTCCAGTTCGTCGGAGCTCGTAAATCTGGTGTGCTACAGATTTAGAGACATTTGTCGTTGTATCTTTAAGGAAGTTACGCCTGAACTGTTAGCTGCCACACGGGGCGTATTCTTCTTGCGGAAAGAGCTTTACTCGCCTCGGCTAAAATATTTCCATTTTGATTTTTCAATTGTAATTTATTTTTCAGTTCAATTGTAATTTTCTATTTTTTAGATTATTTTTAAGAACTGAAAAATACATATCAGTTCGTAGGATTTTCGTGTATTTTACACCCAGGTTCTAACAGGCACTCGCTGCGAAACTGTTTTGGCGACCCGCGAGCGCGCCCAACTGCACTGCTCCACTCCCAAACTCACTGCAAAACCCGTTTCGAGACCTGCGAACTTTAGAATTTTAGTAAATATGTGTGTTTTTAGTGTGTGTTTGTAGTGTAGCTATAAATAGACATTGTGCTTTGTATTTTTGGAGATAACCCCTTATTTTTCAACTTTTAAGTTGGGATATTCTATCTATTTTCTTTCTTTGGAGATTCATGACTCAATTTTTCTGGCGAAATTCCGGCAATCTTATTTTTTTTTATCAAGATTCGAGTGTTACGCACTATTTTCGTCTGGGCATGCGATGGGAGAGTAAGTACCTTGCTTAGGGCTTACTACTTCGAGTTTGTTTTTCGAATTACGTGTTTATGCTCGATTCTAGGTCTTTGCTTTATTTTATTGCTTGCTTACGTGTGTTAGGAATCCGATATGTGATTATCTTGTATAGAGGTATCGACTTTGTTAAAAGCGTGATAATTTAGTGTAGAAAGTTCGTGTTAGGTTACGTAGGATCACCTTGCTCGCATGTTTTCTCTTGTTTATTTTTGTTTTCTTGAGTTATGGATACCTCGTGCAACCAAAGTTTCAATATTTCTCCCTAATCTTGCATATTTCATTATTTGCTCTTAGATTCTTAGTTTAATTTCGTGCAATCCAATCCCATCAAACGAGTAGAATGTGTATGACCTTATTTTCGGTTATGTGAATTGACGACTAGATAGTGAACAAAGCTCCGAACAATCTTCCTGAGAACGACCCGAGTTGGATACTCGGTTATCAACAATCCCCAAAATACTACAAACACTAAGTAGTTTATATAATTTGAGAAAATTGTACAAACTTTTTGTAGTACTTTTTAAATTTAAAATTAATAATATAAGTGGTTTTATTTTTCATTATAGTCATTTTTCTTATAAAGAAGTTTTTAATTGTAGGGGTCGTATCGGTTCGGTAACCGAACCAATAAGCGGTATCGATACCGAACCGATAATGTCGGTAACCTCAAAATCCAAAACCGATACCGAACCGATTAAAGTCGGTTACCAAATTTTCGGTAACCGAAAACTTGGTTCGGTTTCGGTTTTATACCGAAAAAACCGAACCTGTTTTGAGCACACAAAAAAAATAAAAAAACTGCTAGTGTTTACTTTTCTCGTCAATTTGGTAATTTTCTCACTTTTTACCAATTAAATACACACAAAAGACTCACAGATTCATTGAAGGATTAAAGAGTTAAATTTAATATATAGAAGTTAGTTTAAATATAGTTAGATTCTGATTTTTGTGTTAAATGTTGAACATCCAAAAAATAAAATTTGTGATACATCTTCAACTAACTTATTTAGTAACGACAGTATGAGAATAACTTACAGTAACAGTACCTTCTTGCATAGAAAGAGTGAGATTGGTAAACCAATATTTGTTCTGGTGAGAAGGTGAATGAGGAGATGGGTAGTGGTATTTTTCTCGTCAGTTTGGGGTTAGTAGGGTTGAGTCTATATTTTAATTTTTAAACACTAAATAATTAATCCTTGTTTTTAATATTTTCAAAAAAAATCCTTGTTCTAATTTATTTTACCCTTGTTGAGTCTATATTTTAATTTGTTACCGAACCCATAAGAGTTCGGTAAAACCACCGATAGTGATTTGGTAACCGATAATCGGTTACTGTTACAAGCGGTTCGATTTATTTTCTCGTTGGTTCAATTTGATTCAGTTCGGTTTTCGGTTAAAAAATGTCAGCCCTAGTTAAGTGTAGTATTTTTTTACAAAGTCGAACCATTCTCAAGCACACTGTCGGCGATCTGCCAGATGGGCGGGAATAAGACCACCTAATTTCAAAATTAATGCCAACAATTTTAAAATTCTTGAAAATGTTAAAATAAATAAATAAATATAAACAAGAAAAAGCTGAAAAGTGGTCTCATTCTTCACTTTGAAAACATCATCCAGTCATTTCTCTCACATGCTCTGCTCCTTAATGATTTAAAATGTAAAATATTTTTTTATTCCAACCTATAAGTTGAGGTATCTGAGTTTTATATTTTTTTTTTCACTGGATTATCTCCAGATCTTCTTTCCCATCGGAAAGTATTCTAGCACAAGCGAAATTGAATCTGTACACTTATTGAGAGAGAAATTGAGCTGTTTGTTTACTTTTCCCATTTTGTTTGTTACCCTTTAAGGATTACTTTTGAGTGGTGGCTCCAAGATTGGATCTTTTCAGTTGGGACTTCTTGATTCATCATCCCAAGTTTTTTCTGGAACTTTTTATTTATTCACTATTACATTCTTTTCTGAAAGATTTAGGTTTTTCTAACAAGTTATTTGTAGCTTGATTAAGACTGTAATGGGTTGGCTACTGATATGATTCTACATAGGCTGATTAGTTATTTCTGACAAGTTATTTCATAATCTTTCTGTTGTTTACTACTTTTCTTGCGTTGGTATTCTATCCTTTGACTTTGCCATTGTTAATGTGATTTGTGGGTTAATATTGAAATTTGGATTAAGATTGGCTACCAGAGTTGATTTTCTTTTTCCTTTTGGTGTTTACAGTTGTTGCAAAGTAAGACGATAACTGTTCTTTTTTAGGTTGGTTAGTTAGTGTTTTGGATTTGAAGCAAAGATTTAGGTGATTTCTTGAAAATATTGAAATTATTTTTTCTAATTCTGCTTTTTTTCCTATATATAGTTGTTAATGCTGAGCTAAGGGAAATTGGGGTGGGGTTGGGGGTGGAGGATAACAAGTAGCAGAAATACTCAAGATTTGACGCAATCCTCAAACATTTTTTATGCTTTGTTCTGTTCATGTAAGGTTAGCCTTTGTTTGATTATTTTTCTTGGTCATTTGCTGCTATGAAGTGATATTCATATACTGTGAGTCCGCGCAGATACAATTGCAGATGAACATTGTTCGAATAGTATTAAATTTTCGGTCAATTTAAAATTGACAACCAAGATGGAAAAGAGGAAATGGCCATGGAAAAAGAAATTGTCCGAGAAGAGTCCCGGAGAAAGCGAAAGCTCGGGATCATTTTCTTCGCATTCTGAGAGATACTCTGATGAACAGGTTGATTGATTAATGATTTAATGTTGGATCTCATGCGCCTTTTTTGTTCTTTATTGTTTTTAATCTCATATGACTTTTGTTGATTGATTAATGATTTAATGTTGAATTGAATCTCATGCACCTTTCTTTCAGGAGTTCATTATTTCCCATTTTAGCTCACTAATTTCAAAATTCAACCACAATTCACGCATTTTAACAATTTTCTTTCCATCATCTAAATTTTTCAGACCTATTTTAGTATTGCTGCAAAAAGTCCATCACAGAGCTGATTTATAGTAATTGCATTAATAATGTAATATCACGTTTTGACTATTTCTTTTCCTCTTTGTTTCTCTTTTTTCACTCCATTTGAGCAGGAAGTATTGAGAGAACAACAACCTTTAAATGACAAATCATCATCCTCAGAAGTGACCTCTAAAGCTACATCATCAATGGACGACGAAGTGAATGAAACTGTCAAGAGCCTAACACAAAAGCTATCTGCAGCTCTCGTTAACCTCAGCGTAAAAGAAGACTTAGTTAAGCAGCATTCCAAAGTTGCTGAAGAAGCTGTGGCCGGTAAATTTGCTTCCCGAACAACTTGTTCGAATTTGTTAGAGAAAAATGGTGCATCACAATTTTCTCCATTTTTTTTTAATTAAAAAAACAGGTTGGGAGAAAGCGGAAAATGAAGTGGCTGTACTAAAACAGCAGCTCGAGGCTGCATTGCAGCAAAACATGAACCTCGAAGTGCGTGCAAGCCATCTTGATGGGGCCCTCAAGGAATGCGTACGCCAATCGAGACAGTCGAAAAACGAGCAAGAAAAAAGAATATCCGATGCCCTTCACGAAAAAAGCACTGAGTGGGAGTCCCACAAAACCGAGCTCGAGCAGCGAATTCTCTCTCTAGAGAGAGAAAACACGTCCCTCAGACAAGAACTTGGGTCCTGTCTCAAGGAATTAGAAATCGTCACAATCGAGAGGGATTTAAGCACTCGAGCAGCTGAGTCGGCTAGTAAATTGCAATTGGAGAGCATAAAAAAGATCGCTAGGCTCGAGAGTGAGTGTCGAAAACTCCAATCCAATATATCTCGAAAATCGCCCTCTCTTAGCAATCACATGTTCGAACAAAATTGCTCGGATTTCGACCCAGTGAAGAGCGAGAGGCACTCGCCCAAGAATTTAGCTGTTGAAATCGATATGATGGATGATTTTCTTGAAATGGAACGTCTTGTGGCCTTGCCCAAGCCCAAAAAAGACAATCCATTGAGGGGAGAGCTTGAGTTGATGAGTAAACGAGTAGATGAATTGGAAAACGAGCTGAAAAGGGTAGAAATGGAGAAGTTAGAACTTCAGAATGCTTTGGATGACAGTTTGGATTGTTTGAAGGGTGCAGAGTGTAAAATGAAGGAAGTTGAAATAAAATTGGAGGAGGTGGAAAAGGAGTTGAAGGCTGTGAATGAGACGAAAGAGTTGCTAGAGTTTAAGCTTGTGGGTATGGAAGCCGAGGCTAGGAAATATTCGACGAATGTTGAGTCGTTAAGGGCCGAGGTTGAAGAGGAAAAGAAATTATCCAGAGAGTTAAGTGGCAAGTGTCGAGAATTGGAGAGTGAACTAGCCAGGAGAATCGAGGAGTTGGAGCTTGTGGAGAGTTTCAACTTGAATGTTGAACCAAAAGTAAAGGAGGTTTGGGTTTTCACCATTTTAACTTGCTTTTGGTTGAATGTAAATTCTCCCATTAATATTTGTTTCTGTTTTTGCATATTTGAACCCTTAATATGAGGTGTCATAAGGAAATGCAGATGTTTGTAACTAAATGCTTTGAATGGAGTCGAGAAAGATTTGAATAGAAATTTTGATACCTTTGCAGGAGGATATAGCTGTAGCTGCTGATAAGCTTGCCGAGTGCCAAAAGACAATTGCGTCCTTAGGACGACAACTCGAGTCTCTTGCAACATTGGAGGATTTCTTGATAGACACTTCAAATATAACCGGTTTCTCAAAGGCCCCAGACAATGAAGGAGATGCATGGAGATTAACATCTAAAGATTCTTTGTCATTAACTAGTCGCGATTTGGATCATCCAAGAATGTCGATGGGAAATGATGGTCATGTTGCGAACCGAGACGAGGATTTATTACCAACTTCATCTTCCAACAATCATATTGTGGCTGCTAGAAATGGTTTCGGGAAGTTTTTCTCTAGAAGTAGGAATGTGATTGAGCTTGGAAATAGTCAAGATTAGTTTTTTTTTTTTCTTCTCTTACTATTTTTTTAGCTTTATGGTATAAAAAGGAATAATTTTAAGTTTGTGGGGGGAATTGTTTTTTCGAATTATGTATTAGTGTGTGGCTCTTCACACATTGAATTGTGCTGGTGTAGAAAGATTTTTCAAGACATTCAAACAAAAGAAGAATTGCAAACTCATGAGCATTATACTTTTCCCGCATTCAGATTACAATTGAATTTTTACATTAGGGTGTTTTGTTTTATTTCTTTTTTCTTGTGTGCCTTTGCTTATCTTCGACCATTAGTAAAGCTGCAATGCCATAAAGTGATCTCTTTCTTTTTGTTCATTTGTCTGAATTTGGGAGTAGCATTTACAGCCTTTCTTGTAAACAGACCATAAAATTACACAATCAAGAATCCAAATTTAATAACTAGACAAAACAATTCTTCTTGTTCTTCTCATATCCCTCTCATTTGTATTGTATATGCTTCCCGTTGCATACCACTCAATTGTAAGGCAAAAAGCAAGAACACCATCAACTTAAAACGCCATCAACACAGCTCATAAATACACAAAACACAAAGAAAAAACATCTAAACAACAAAACTACCTTTTTATTTCTCATGTCTCGTCCACATTTTGTCTTACAATTTACACACAAAACCCGAAATTAAAAATTAAAAAGAAAATAGAAAAAAAAAACCCCAAAAGGGGAACAGACAATCAATCATTCATAATTTCACAAGGCCGATCCACAGAAAGGGCAGAACCTGAAAGCGGTGTCCACCTGACGGGCGCAGAACTGACACCTCAAGGCCGCGTCCACAGCCTCTTTCTCCGGTGCCGGCGGCGGCGGCGGCGGCGACAGCGATGGAGGGAAGAAAAGATTGCAGCTTTGACAGAGCATCATGGGATCCTTCCCCTGCCATCGCCACACGGGCACGAAGAACAGCTTCAGAACCTTCTCGTACTCGACGAGATCGGCGCGTGAGCCGCACGCGACACACCTCCCGGCGCCGCTCTTGAGCACCTGGCTGACCTGCTGCTGTAGTCCTCCGACAAAGAAGAAAAACATGGTTGTCGATCGAAGTATGGAATCTGTTTATCGCTGATGGATGGAAATGGGGAATTTGGGAAAGTGGCGGAAAGGGTTTTAGATTTATGCTCTTTGCTTGTTGAGTTGGGGGTTTTGCTGGCACCTTCCATGGATCGTCCGACTGTTCGAGATGAAACGCGAATGTGTATATTAAGTATAGAGAAAATTATATTTTTAGTCCTGCATCTTTGTGCTTTCTAAATATTTTAGTCCTCGACGAATAGTTAATTTAAATTTAGTTCTTTATTTAAAAAAAGTTACAAAACACGCCCCGACTCGTCGAAAATTCACTAATAAGATGGAAACATGCACGTGACACGATTTAACTGTTCATTTAAGTCTACGTGGAGTCGGGAATCCAAATGGCACCGTTATTAAAATCTGTCGACATTAAATTAAACGAAAAAGAAAAAAAATATCCACGCATTTAGGAGGGAAATAAGAATAAAAACAAAACAATCTAGTTGCCCCTTCAAAATCAATTAAAAAAGAATAAAAGCCTTAAATCCAGAAATCTCTAAATCCCCAAATCCTCAAAAATCCTAATTTCTAAAATTGTCGATTTCGTTCTTGGATTATCAAAATATTGAACATTATAGATTACAACATGTCTGAATCGTCGCACACTGCTGGTTTCTTGAAATGTTGGTGTGGAAGAATGGTTTATTTGTACATCATGGACGACCGAAAACTCGGGCAAGAGATTTCATTCTTGCATCAACTACAAGGTATGTTCTAACTGAGTGTTTGAAGTTGATTTTGCTGAGAGAAAATCGCATTAATATACAATGTTATGAGGTTAATTTTTGTGACTTTTTTGTATTTAATTGCAAATAGATATTGCATTTATGTCCAATGTTATGAAGTTTGTTCTGCTATTTTTCCGTATTTAATTGAAGAGAGAAAATTGCATTTATATACAATTTTATGAAGCTCATTAATTTGGTGAGAGACGAATTCAATTTTGTGTGTTTTTTTTTTAATGTATAGAGCATGAAGGATGAATTGTTATGAAGTTGATATATGTGATTTTTCTGTATTTAACTGCAAAGAGAAAATTGCATTTATATACAATGTTATGAAACTCATTTTGGTGAAAGGTAAAACTGATATTCAACCAACACCTTCAGTCGATCCCCACAACACCCATGATCGACCCTAATTGTTTTTTACCGATCGACCAATTGTTGTGCTTCGTCGATCCCATGCATGATTGACCCCATAGCCACTGCTATATGCATCGTCGTCTAGTATAGCCTCTCAGAAGCATGCGTATTTGAAACTTTTGCCTCCAAGTCTTGATTCCATACCATCATTGGGATACAAGCCCAAGTCATACCATGCTCCAGCACACCATGAGATTTCGGGATCTCTGATATTGATTCCACAAAGTTACAAATCCAGTCAGGTTTACGGACCTCCAAGTTCCGTGTGACCCTCTCCTTCTTGGGATCACGAGGCAAATAACCCATTGACAGTGCCTGAGAAGCCGATTGCTAAGCCTCGCCTCTATGAGACAACTCAGACTACTGGGGGATGTTTGCTTAGTTTATACCTCCAAGAGTTGCTCTTATTGGGTTGCTTCCACATCTGGGATAACCGGATCCGGAAGATACTCTTCTGACTCAATGTTCACCTCCTCCACAAATTGCTGTTGGGATCTATGAGGATCTCGTTATGTACAAATCACGAATTCAATAGCAAACGTAAACCTATGCGCAACGGATCTAAAGGTTTGATGTAGAGAACTTACGGCTCAAAATTTTTGGCGATCTGGCTGATCTTCTGGATGGCTGTACACAGCACACGAACAAATCATATCACACGAACGGAAGTCTCGGGCTCACGTGAATCGGGTCGTGTGGGTTGGATCTCCGGTCGGGTCGCGGGTACCGGATCGAGTCGCGTCCTCCTCGGTCGATCGGGTCGCGAGTTGTCCGTCTCGCGTCGGATCATCGCGGTGGTCTTCGGCGGAGCTCCGGCGGGCTTGCGACGACTTCACGGCGGGCCTGGCTCATTGGGTTGGCGGTCCAGCAGGTCGGGCTTGTCGTGAATATATTTTCTGTAGAAGACAATCGGGGCTCGGTTACCTCTAGATCTTCTACTATATTACTCAATACACCCCTCTTCAACTTGTACCAGTGGAGCAACAAGAAGAAGATAAAACTCGAATGAGAACTAAGAGAGACAGATGGGGCGGCGTGTATGTCGTGAATTATGGAATTGTGTGTTCTCTTCTCATGAGCTTAATGATGCATATATAGAGCTACAGTAAAGACCCTTAGGAGATTAGGAATAAGGCTCCTTAATTAATTAGACTAACTGTGGGCCAAGCCTACTCCTCTAATTAATTAAATAATATTAATGGGCCACCAACATTATATTATTGCACTCCCTTTTCCTAGCAAATTAAATTTGAGAGTCTAATAATAATTACACGATTTACCTCCTCACGTTTAAGATATAATGTCCATTAATTAATTCAATTTCTGACAATCAAGAATTAATTAATTTATTATTATTTCACCGAAGCTAGCGCTCGTTCATCACATTCTTATTATGCCGGAATTTAATCCACCTGCAGGGTTTAGCATAACAATCCTTCATGAATTCACTCTGGGGACATCATCAAACTAACGCACATGGTGACCGTAAATATCCTAACAACACATCCTATATATAATAATATTACCCAAAACAGTAGGAATATTAATCCAGTGAACTGAACTTCATCCGAGTGAATCAAAGTAATATATACTATATATATCTGTCTGTTTAATATCTTACGGGTTAAGAGAACGCAGTAATTAACCGAGGCTTAGTTCATTTACGACGATCAGTATAAAATGAACTTCTCCTCTCTGGGATCTTGTTCAATACATAAATGTACCAGTGCAACTGATCTGTCAAGACAAACTGTACAGTTGACACTACAACCGTTTGGATGGGGTGTTCATGTCCATCTAGGTTGTGAACAACTATTCTTGTTCGCAAGTAACTGATAGAACGATCTTCGGTTAGCCTGATGACAACCCACTCTATCTAATGCAGAAAAACAAACGTACAACTTGTTTAATCTAACATGATTCTCATTCATAAAGGACAAATGTGTAATAACATGCAAAACCAAGTTTTCTGTATATAACACTAACAATTGCCTCTTTCATCACTTGACTCTCGTTTCTTGATAGAAGAACCGATTGTTCTTCAAACTCTACCTCTTCGGTAAATGGCAGAGTAGGACGATCAAGATGGGGAGACTCCATCCTTGACCATTTTGAAGTTTTGCATGTCTCCCCAAATGCACTTGTCGATCGGCTCCTAACCTCGAGTCTTTGCAATCCAATCCCCTGAAGGGATCTCACCAAAACATCTACCTGTTGTTGGCAATGTGACCCCCTAAGCAACCGATGTAGTTCCATGCACGGTCGGACCCTTCATCTTTTGCTTTCTCAGCTTCTCGATTATACCCATCGTCTTATGTGTTTGCTTTAATTGTTGTTTAATTTGTTCTTTATCTTCATATATTATATTATTTGTTTGTTATTGTATTTATCATATATTTGTTATTAAGAACACAAGATGAGCAATAAAATGGAAATATAATTTATATTACGTTTATTTGTCGATAAAGTAAAACTAAGGTTTATATTTATATTATCGGCAGTACCGAGAACACTGTTGGAGACATTATCTATTAGTAAAGTAAAATTAAGGTTTATATTATGTTTATATTGAGTAAGCGTGGACCATCCACAATCAAGAACAAGTGAAACATCAAATTCAATACAATACGAAAAATCAGTTAATTCAACCATGAATTCTAGATTTCAAATCGGAAGTTAAAAATTATTCTAACCTTTAAAAATTATTTAAAAAATAATCAAACTTTTATATATATTTAAAAAATAATCAAACCCGTATATATATATATATAAAGGTTTAATTATTTTTTAAATAATAACTATTTACCTCCAAAAAATATTTATTTACTATTTCTGAAAATTAATTTAACAATTTATGGTATATATTAAATGATCACTTATGGGAAAAGCGGCTCATTATTTAAGGAAGTAATTAAACATATTTTAAAGTACCTTAATTTAGGTCAACCATGCATCTGTTGTGCTCGACTCCTGGGACATTTTTGTATATTTTTTCATCCGTTTGAAATACATGAAGCCCTCATCCACGAGTCCCCGATGAATGCACGCGTACAGGACCCAAACGAAAGTGAAAGAAACTGAAAGGCTATGTATTTTTATTTGGCTTTGGTTGAATTTTCTATTATTATTATTACTAGTACGAATCCCGTGCGATGCACGGGGTAATAGATATTCATTAATATTTATAAATTAAAAAATTTGATTAAATACTATTAATTAAAACATGGAATCAATATGTAATACAATGTACCTATATTAATTTATTATTAATGTTATATAAAACTTAAATTGTGCAACTAAATAAATTTGCTCACTTTATACTATATATTGATTAGTTTATTTCCCATAGAAACAACCATCAATACTAAAAATAAATCCGTCCACTTTATACTATATTATATTGATTAATTCATATGATTTGAGTGGGTCGGGTTGGACAAGTCAAACGGGCGTACGAGCTAGTACATCCTGGAAATGCCCGTAAAGCTCGACGTTGTCATTTGGCAGGCTCTTCTAGGGGCCCACGCGGTTACCGAGAACGTGAAAATTGGCGAGGTCGCAAGAAACGAGATCGCGGAATTGGAGCCCAACCCATTCTAACTCTGATTGAGTCGTTTTATTCTCCATGCACTCACGAGCAGAACCGTGGGGGAGGCCGCCACCACCGTTCGCGCGCCTGGGCGATTAGACGCGTGACTCGCTTCCAAGGGACGTAGTGGGGGAGGCCGCAGTATCAGGTTGCAGGCTGTCCAGTTGCAGGACCCCTATGGTGTCGCCGGAGATTCTCACTGACCGACCTAGTCATAACTTTGTCTCGAGCCAATTTTGTTATCCGATTCGAATTTATGGAGAGAAATTTGGGGACCAAATTTAGGGACTGTGATGCAGAATAATATCTATTATTAATATTAGCATTTAATATTTGTTTATATTTAGTGGCTTGGTGGACAAGACAGGTTTTAGGGTTTGGTGTCTTATTTAAAGACCCCTCTTCTTTTTGTTCGATGGTGAATTTTGAGATTGAATAAGATATTGTGAGTTTTGTGTGTTTTACGAGAGAGTATCTTGTATTCTTTCCCTTTCGTACGTATTTCCATACATCAGACTGCATTTGTGTGAGTAGAAGAAGAAGAAGAAGAAGAAGAAGAAGAAGAAAGTGAACAAACGAGTTGGTAAGAAGGAAAAAGGGAAGATAGAGAAGAAATGAAAGTCAATTTCGAGTGATTAATATGCCTAATTTACTCCTATCAGTTAATTTGACCACATATTAGTACCAAAATAAGATTAATGTATTTTGTACTTATTTTTTACTTAAAGGGTTATTATGTACTACTATGTGGTATAATTGGTATTAAGAAAATCAAAGAGTAATTAAGACATAAGATGCTTAGTAAGGATGCATGACATAATTTTCTCATATATATAATGGATGATGAAATGAAAGAATTTGATCCCCAAATCTATCATTATATAAAAAGAATAACCTTTTTATAATTTTATAAACTTTTTCCCGCCAAAATTATTAAATATATCCTAAATATAGTAATTGTTGGACAATTGTGAATAGGCACAAAAACCGGCTCTTTAATTGCATTGTTTCCTTAATTCTAGCTTGCAACAATAAATTCGATTGGCTTTTGGTTTAAAATTTCCCACAAAAATTTCATATCATAAATCTTATTTGTTATATTGCATATGTCTCATGAGTTTAAAAAATCTCATCTCTTGTCTATAAAGATTTTAAAAAATAAAATAAAATAAAAACTAATTCATAATTACTACTAGAAATCCATTATGTTTAAAAAATCTCATATCTTATCTATAAAGATTTTAAAAAATAAAATAAAATAAAAACCAATTCATAATTACTACTAGAAATCCATTATCTACTTTAAAAGACTAATTTTCATCGGTCTAGTTACTAATATTTTTACAAATTTTCGAGTTTATCTCTTATTTATTATATTGCATACGTCTCACGATTTTAAAAAATCTCATCTCTTATCTATAATAATTTTAAAAAATAAAATAAAATAAAAACTAATTCATAATTACTACTAGAAATCTATTATCTACTTTAAAAGGCTAATTTTCATCGGTCTAATTACTAATATTGTTACAAATATTATAAGCTAAACAATACATCCTCGATAATAACGTAAAAAAATATAATAACAATGGTGTGTAATCAAATATTTTTTTAGCCGAAGTAACGCCATAAATTCGGTATTATCTGACATAATGTCTTCATTCAATTATGTTTGTAATATTTTAGATGCTTTAAACGAATTTTTTAGACATTTTTTTTACATATTCGTCTATATATACATATACACATACATAATTGATGTTAAATTTAAATATTTGTAGACATGTTTTCCTTACAAAATAGTCTAGAAAAATCTTTTTTACGCCATGTTAAATTCAAATGTTTTTAGATATGTTCCTTCTAATAGAAAAATTGTAGGTAACTTCACATCTTTCAAAAATAATATAGAAAATTTTGATTACTTTTACAAATACTAATATAATATTTTAGGTGTTTTTAATATTAAACATGCAAATTTTATATTCTCTTATACAAAATAATGTAAATTTTATATTCTCCTATACAAAATAATTTTGCATTGTTTGACCCTGAAACTTTAATTTATAATTACTAAGTATTGTTTATCCTCCTCTTTAATTTATAATTATTTTTTTTCTTCCTCTTTTTAAATAAGATTAATGGTAGTTTCCACTTCCACCATTGAGTGACTCAAACTCGGGGTCTATTTATAATATTGTTAATTTAATATTGTTCTCGTGCATCGCACGGGGTACACACTATAATGATGATAGGAAAGAATTAAGGCTAAAGGACGCATTTTAAAAAAACTGTTCCCAATCGACGAAACATGTAAAATAAATCCACCTACGGGCTCCATAACCTTTTTAATTTCGAACACTGTAAACAATTCCACCTGTTTATCAAAATCCGTTTTATTTGAAAACCATACGGTCCATACCGTTATCTTTTTCAATTTCATTTAGATCATTTTCAGTTTATCTTAAACTTATTACATTATCTCTATTAAAAATTAATTTGAATTTATGGTTAATCATAAATATATTTTTTATTTTTTTACTAAATTATAAAAAAAAATTGGTTAATCTTAAATATATCTTAAGTATATTATAAGTATATTATCTATTTTCTTTACTAAATCATAAAAAACTGGTTAATCTTAAGTATATCTTAAGTATATCATAAGTATATTCTATATTTTTTTTACTAAAACATTAAAAACTGATTAATTTTAAGTATATCTTAAGTATACTATCTAATTTATAATTATAACTAAATGACACATAAATAAATAGACAACAAAATCAATTAAAAAAAATAAACTTAATATAAACTACAAATAAACCAAAAAAAAACCTAATTAATTAAAAAAATAAATTGAATATAAACTACAAATAAACAAAAAAACCTAATTAATTAAAAAAATAAACTGAATATAAACTACAAATAAACAAAAAAAACCTAATTAATACCTATATAATCATATCTTTGATTACAGATAAACAATCAAATTAACTTTCAAAATCATTCAAAACACAAATATATCACATAGTAAGCACACACACAAACAACGATCACCAATCGGCACAACAACGCGAAAGTAGCTTTCAAATTCTCTACATCAAAATTTAGAGAATTAATTGCAAGACATGAGTCACATTTGCAGTGAATAAAAAAACTTCTAGATATTATTCAAGCTCCGAGTTTCAAGAAATCATAGATAAACATCGAATTAATTCTCAAAAAACTAAATTTTGTTCCCAGAAATTAACACACGTAATGAAATTATAGATCAATTAACGCTCAAAAATCTACTTTATAAAAAACTTCCACAGATTATTCAAGCTCTCATCTTCAAGAAAACCATAGATAAACATCAAATAAACATCAAACTAACACTAAAAAAGCTACTTTAATTTTTATTTTCTAAAAATTAACACACGTAAATTAGAAAGAAGGGTAATCGGAGCCATCGAAAAATATAAAACGCATCCCATCACTTTTTCCGACCTTCAAGTCTCCATTTTCACCTCACTTCTCATCTGACAGAAAGAACATATCGATTGGCCGATGAGTAAAATAGAGGAACTTCAGAAAATAGACAAATAGTATCACAACTCACAAGAAAACACAGTTGAAACGATCGAAATTCCACAAGTAGCCATTTATCTATATTCACCAACACAGTTTTGAATTCTCTATAGTCTGATAGACAAAGCAAATAATCATCCAATTTACCT